GATCACGTAGACTGCAGTATGCACGTGTACAGATGCAGCGAAATGATCCAGGATACATTGTGCAAACCTGTGTTTTTGGCTTTTTTATTCAAACTGCGTAGGTTTTCGATTTTCAGACTACATCAAAACATTTACAATCAGGAACAGCGAATACAATGATCCAGAGTGCCTTTATTCAGAGATGAAGTTTAGTTTCTTTTTGGAATTAGGGAAAATTCATCGCTTTCGGTTTGGATGAAATCTGATCAGAACTGTTATGGAATATTTTGGACTCCAAAACTTAATACTCCATTGTGTGTAGGCAGATATGCGTGTTTATAAAGCTTTCCATAATTCGATCACATTGTACATTGTATAAGATTTCCTGACAATTTCATTTATTTCAAATGGAAATTCGTCATGTATATAGCAAATGAAGCGTGAACTGAAAAGCTCGGAAGCACTGAACAGCTGTTTCGACCTGGTTGGGTCTCATCAACAGTGCGAATCCATCGACCCGACTGGGGATCGAACCCATATTACACCCATATGGCCCATATGGTTACAAATGAGTTAACGGTAGCAATTTATACATTCACGGTCTCCTACACCGTTCACTGCAGTTTTTTAACCGTTTCTCTCACTTCTCCCATCGGAATTATGTAATGTTTCATTCAACGCAACTAATTGATCAATTGGAATATGGAATAGTTCCAAATTCACTTGCATTCCTGCACCTCAAATCTATTCCTGAGCAAAACATGTCAAGTGGGACAGGAAATTATCGATACACTACCAAGCGTCATCACAGATTATCAAGGTGAACAAGAGGTCACGAAAGGTTACGGCAACCAGATAACGGGTTGTTTTACTCAACGTTCCGTGAATAATCTTCTGACGGTGGTGGTGGTAGTAGGGTTTCGGTCACTGAGTTATTTGCCGTCTGGGGCTGGATACAAACCGTGCGTTACGTAATCCTAGGTCACATAGTTCTCTACTCGTTCGGCGAGGTCATTAAGTTGAAGTTGTAGTGTTGCACGGGGTCGGATAGGGGATGACGGTCGAGTGACCACGGAGATGTCAATCGATGAGCAGATGAAAATGCTTAGTATTTTCGCACATTGTAAATGCCATTTGGAAAGTTTATTGTTCTACCGAAATATTTTTTTCACACCGAAATTAAATACTGCCGTTTACTTATAACCATCAGAAGACAAGGGGAAAAAGCAACTAATACTCACCACACATAGCTACTCAATAGCTCTCCAAGCAAATAAAAATAGGAGATTGAATACCGGATCGTTCTATTTGTCAGAAAACAGGGAACGTAACGAAAAAACATTGATAGCGCGTCACTGAACTGCTCTAAGATAAAGTGAAACATTCAATAGACAGAAGTCATGTCATTTGCATCCGAAAAACTGCATATATATTACCTACAAAGGTGTTTTGCGGTCTTAACCAAATTCACATCAAGTATTATTGGTCCATTCTCAAATGAGGAGGCGTTTGGCCTATATAAGAATGAGTGGAATTCAGCAGGTCCAGGAATTTTACATTGATTTTGTTCAGTCATGAATTTGGAACATTCAATAAAATAGTCAAAATCCATGACATGTATTCATGTATCATGAATCCTTCTTGCGCTTAGTTGATTTATCGATCGTTATTTTGAAATGTTGCTCATTTGCAGTTTGTCTATTCTAATTTTCATTAGAAATTCTCTACATTTAGGTGACGATTTAAGAGTTCGGGTTTTCCTGAGTCATGGTGAAATTTTACAAAGTTCAGACGCCTCGTTGCGACTCGAACCCACGAATGGACGGCGTCTCGCTTTTGTACAGATCAAGCTCTACCTACTGGCCTTAAGTTAAGTTCAAAGAGGGAATTTATAGTGTAGAAAACAAATGGGCGTAGACTAAGAAGTCAGGCAGCACTGTTTAGCTGTTTCGACTTGATTGTCTCATCAACAGTGCGAATCCACCGACCCAAACGGGAATCGAAAACGGTACCTGACAGGCAGAACGCAGGCATGTTACTCACTCGGCCACCGGGCAGCTGATGAGGCCGCTTTTTACATTTTGCATTCACGGTGCGCTGAAAGTGTGAAAGTTTCAGTAGCCTCGGTGGGATTCGAACCCAAACATGGACACCCCGTACGCTTTTGCACAGAGCTCGCTCTACCAGCTGATATTGCGTAATTTCTGAATAACTTTGCGTTTTGTTCGTAATTGTTTAACGGACATCCGAAAACCTCCGTATATTCTGCCTACCGAGATCTTTAAAGACGCCAGCGGTATGGTTTTAATTAGAGTTGTTTCCCATCCATCCCACAGTGCGTCATTTTCTAACGGTTTTCGGCAAAATCAATCAGTGCGATCAATGCGGCCAGTCCATGAATTCTCATAAGAGTTTTGAATCGTTTTTTATCCGCGTACATATCATAATCCTCAGTTATCACACTTTTTCCAATAATCAAAACACACGGTTGTATAAGTGGAAACAGTGGGGAACAGTAATCTATGAGGTGTTCTCTTCTGTAAATCTGTGCTGCTTATCTTCGCAATTTATCCCTTTTGATTAGCGGAACATGACACCAATCAACACTTTCCTTTTTAATTGAGCATATCATTAGAGACTTTCCCAGTGAATTGCCCAAAGCTAATGCAGATTGACAGTTTTCTGTCTCTGATTCACATAATTAAAGAGGTATTAACTTTTTGATTGTTGTTATCTCTTAACCACAAGGCGTTCAGTTAAATCTGACTCATTCACTGGCCGTTACAATTGAACAATTGGTATTTTTGCCGGCCGCTAGCACTAATGTCCACTCAAATTTAATACTGTATTTTTGGACCAGAATTTCTGAAATTGAGCAAACAAATAGTCAGATTACGAATGTCTCCTCCCCAGTTTTAGACCAGGAGACTGGTGATGAGATGTGTGAGATGGGATGGGGTGCAGGTAACAGATTTGGAAAGACAGTTTATGTTACATTGTGCACGGACAAATTCAGTCTGACCAACTACCCAATGTTTAAGTGGGCAAAATGCTTGTGGACCGTCGGTGAGACGATGTGTTAAATCCTTAGTTACAACGTTTGCCGAAACCGTTAATGGATGCAAGCGAGTCATGGAGTGGGAGCACTATGAAACCTCGTGTCGAGGCGTGACCAAGTAACTTTCACATAGAGATTGCGCTGGGGTTTCCGTTTGGGGATTTCGAGATGGGTCAAATAGGCAATCAAAGACTCTGAGTGATCTGCCTTAGTGTTGTAAACTGTAACACTGATGTATCCCCTAAGTTTCTTTGCCAATCTAGCCTAAGTGCATTCTGATTATTTATCCTAATAATACTTTCAGATTTCTAATTCCCAACCCAAATCCGTCTTCCACACTGTGCAAAAGTGCTAGTTTAACAGTTGTATGAACTAAACAGGCGTGCCCATGGTTCCTTCGGGCTGAGTGTGACGCAAAGAAACATGACAAGAGAACGCCTCCGCACATGAACTAATTACAAACCTATACAGAGGACGATTTTGCATTTATTTTAATTCATTGTAAGTCAGGTTTGCTTTCGATCTTCTTCCACACTGCATATGAGTCTCCACTCTAGGCCCAGGTATCGACATTAGTCATTGTAACACAACAAAATTTCGCCGAATTCACTTCAGTACAATAAAATATATCACGTTAGTACCTCAACCGATCCTTGGTTATTTCGCAATCCATTTCTCTCTTCCTTTCGATATATGTATATCAACGTTTTTTTATCACAAACTATTACAAAACTACTGGATTATAAACATTGTACCATCATTCGAGTTCATATTGTGAATGCGATGTTTGGCTTGCTGACACAAAACCACTCCACTGAAGCTCATACGTTGTAAGTTTTATTTTTACTAACTTTTCCTCGATAATTATTACAGATTTCGCAATTGGTTCTATAATGATACATTGATCAGGACTGAAGTGATCGATTTTGTTATCATTTTCCCTAAAAGTCGTTTCATAGTGCACTACACGATGGCTCTTCGCAATAATCATTTTTGAAAATAACCTGAGGTCTCTGGTGGTCTCTCCCAAATCAACGAACGTTTAGACTCGTCTACTCCTCCCTTCCCCTCCCCCGTGCGCCCTCACCAGGGTCCCACATGTGCCGTTGTAAAGGTCACCGAACCACTGACCTATGGCACACAAACTTACTCATATGTGTTACATACCCGCGCACAAACAGCGCTCCTATAAAACTTGATTTTAACTTAGGGCAGGCAAATTGAGCAAAGGAAGGAAGTGATTATTCATTACAATCCAGTAAAGGGAGATCCAAGTGCGTGCAATTCGGTTGGACCTATATAAACGCAAGGAAAAGTTTCACTGTGGCTTTTACAACCCCATTTCCCATATTTTAAACCTGTTGGAACATGCGGTTTTTGGACAAATTAAATCTCCGCCTACGTGGTGACAGTAAGGAGCGAACCGGCCAGACGCAACTGATCAAACCAGATCCAGCCAGTGTTGATTCGAGACTCGCGCCAATCCCAGGCCAATTCGAGAAGAGTGTGGAAATGCGATTTCCCCTAAAATCCCACAGTTTGAGCAACGACCGTAGAGAGACAAATGGGTAAGTCCGATCTTTTCACGCACTAGAACAAACTCGTATACTTGTTCCCGTTGAGTTTCCGTTAAATTTATTCTGAGATTTATTTCTAGAGCTGAGTGCTTAGAACGGCTGTTTAACTCTGACATTCATTCAGTAATACTGAGTATCACGCCACACATTATTGAGAACTTTATTTACTTACGCAGGAGAAAATACAATTTTATCCCTTTGCACCTCGTGGTGGAGTGATGGTGGCGCAGTGGTTTAGTTGCTGTCACCTGTCGTGCTTTGGACCCTATGGTCCGAGGTACGAGCCCCACCACCGCCACCCGACGTTAGTGGTAGGCAGCTCTGCTGTCCTCCGGTTCACTGCCACATCTAACCTACCGGGGCCTTATGTGGTTCGCCACTCCAAGTCCCGGAGCTTAGGTTGCCGGTTTCTACCACTGAACAGCAGGTCCTCGTGACTATGGGGTTCACCCAGTCTGCTGTTCAACACACTTAGGTGTGTAATAAAAAAAATTAAAAAGTGGTGGGAAAAATTGTTACTAGTAGAAATATTAGTTAAAGCGTAAAGGGTTGCGTATATCCAAGGCTACAGAAACAATTAATGAGAAAAATTAACTCAGTTAGGAAATAAAAAGTTGTGATCTATTAGAACTAATTATTCTTTAGGATCTTCGCATAAATATGAAACGCGCTCTCATTGTGGTGAATGTGCAATAGCGTCAAAGGCGGGCGGTGGTGGCCCGGTGCTTATGTCACCAAATTATCACCCCGAGGATGTATGTTCGAACCCCACTACCACCTGAATTTCCCCTTTGTGTGTTGAATAGCAGCCCTCTGATTGGCCGCTTCGCTCTTCCTGAAAAATTGTTGTATCTTTGTATATTCAATAAAAGGAAGTAAAATGAAAAAGAAAAGAAAGAAAGGCAATAACTTGGATGATGTTCCTTTTGACTAGTCTTGAAGTGGAGTTTTGAGAGCCACTTCAAGACCTCAAGGCTAGAGTAAGACAAAATGGGTATAACTATGGGCCATTAAGTGGGATCGATTCTTTTACGTTTTTATCACATACAATTGTACAATGAATAACAGATGGGAAGGACTCCTTAGTCATGGAGACCGATGACTTAAGCCCTGAGACTTGGAGTTGCGGATCACTCAAGGCTCCGCTAGACTCCGCGTACAATTTAACCGGACGGCAGCAAAGCCGCCTACCACCAAAGTTTAGTAACAGTGGTAAGGTTCGAACCTTGGATCATGGAATCCAAAGTGCGTCGGTAATAGCAACTAAACCACTACACCACCACTAATACCACATTACCTTTTGAACCGGTGGGATAGACGTCGGTATTGTATGCTACCGAATCAGCTTATTGAATAATCAGGTTAAAAAGACAGTCTAATGAAGTCTGAGTTTTTCTGAAGTGTTACAGTGATCGACGGTCTTCTGTAATTCCCCGAAGATGGAAGTACGATGAAGCATTTCTGTTGCACTCAATGCTCGAGAGCCCGAGACTACATCAAGAAGATCACATCCATCTTGTGAAAATAGGGGAGACGAACTCTTGCAAAGATTCCTCGGCTGAAAATGGAGGCAGCGACTAACGCATCCAAATAGAATACAAGTGGGATAAAAACACTCATCCCTGAAAAAAAAGTAATCCTGAAAAGCTGAAAGAAGTAGTGTTTCACCTATGGGGATATATGGTCAACTGCAACAAAATATTTGTCTGCATGGCGCATAAGAAAAACTCGAATGAGCTAATTCAAACATTCCTCGTCTAAACTGACTGAACTATTCGCACAAGGTGATGACTGTCGACCGTGTAGCTGAGGGGTAAAAGTTCAAAGTCCCCTCCCGAAAGTTTGCGGTTCAACTCCTGACAGGGACACAAAAAGTACGCACTATTGATGAGTCCCAAACACGACGAAACAGTTGTCCAATGCGCTTTGTCGGTCATCGAAAAGATTGCCAAAACGCATGCATGTGTGACTGTTTTTTTTCCGTCAGAAAATTAAACTATCCGTAGTTTGTCTGTAGAATGTATCATCATTAATTTGTCTCATCTGGATTATTTATCCTTCAATTCCTATTTATGACAGATCGATAGATATTCTCCTGGTGGTTAGATTACGCCACAAGAACACCATTGAATCTTCTAGCTTACATTATCTCGTTCAGTACTGAGTCTGTTCGAATGAATTCCGCAAATAGTGCGTAGGCTTTTGGAAATATTGGGTTGTTGCATAAGTTTCCGCCTACCCACTGCTTCCTTTGCTTCATATTCACATAGGGACACCGTTTCTCGATTCCAATAACGATTCTGTATGAGAAACTTTGCCTGTGACCACCTGGTGTTGAGCATTAGTGGAAAGCCGCTTATTCTTCTGCGTTTTGGTGAGTTCGTGCAGGACTAGGCAAACCAATCCCGAGCAGATCTCTCAGCTATGGCTTCCTTTCCATAAACGGCACAAATATCTCTGATAGCTTCGCTCGCTTTCTGACCTCAATTAAAGGCGAAAAGATGGAGGTGCCGAAAGTGCAATTTTTGGTCAACTTGACAGTCCATTTGACAGTGCTAAAAGGACAAATTAGTATAGACAAAAACAATTACTTTAATCTTGTAGAGCAAAGTACGGGCTTTCTAACGGTAAATAACAATTTGCCAAACAATAAAATTTCTTTGTAGAACAAATAGTTTCATGTCACGGCGGGAACTTATGCAACAACCCTAATGAATTCAAAATCCTCGCCTCGTTCCATGAGTTATTGGATATCCCATCTGTCATGGAACACGGTCTTACCTCGACTCTCACGCCTGCCACAATGTAAAGTTCAAAGTTCAAGTTTTATCACGGCCACGCTCACTGTTCCCATGTATTCCGATCCGGTCACCTTGTTAAATCGTTCACCGTTTTTACTTTATCTGGTCCCATAACCCAACAGAATGTCCACATTTATGGGATTCCTATCCTTTATTGTTTTTGTCACTCAGCTTAACATCCGTGGGTATGATTTGCTATAAAAGATGTGGATAAGGCCAACCAATGATGTTTCCTAGGCAACTGACATTCGAAATCGGGTTAGTTCCCTACCCTGGACAAATCAAATATCTTATCTATAAAATGGAAACATCCAGCGTGTTCAGATTCTTGATAACTGATCACCTATGATTGATTTGCCGAAAAATCGTATCAATCTTTTCCGTGGATTATGTATGCGCCCATCAGGCAAACCTGGTGCAGAATCGTCTCAGGAATTCAGAAGTTGCTCCTACTCGGACTAATTGCTTTCTCATTGTGAAGCTTGTCTTTTTATGGAATAATCTCTCACTAAGACTGTGGTTTTTGTGCAGATGAACTTTCCAATCTCCCCTCTACCCCTTTATTCAAATGAGTAGCCGCACGAATGTGGATTTTTGTTCCAACTGAAACTTAACATGCGTAAACATCAAGGGACTGATGAAGAGTGGAACTTCTGAATTCCAGAAAGCGTCCACTGCAGCTTTAAAAAGTAGCCTTTGGAAATGAATAATAATTAAATTATTCGCTGGAATGCGCGGGCCTCCGAGGGTGGGGTAGTGATTAATTTCCTAATGCTTAGTCCTCCAATCAATCAGAGTTTGCGCGGCCCCAAATGGAAGTGGTTGAGCACTTAGGGGCGAGGATGTATTGTTTTGTGAACTGTCAAGCTAGAGTGGTCGGCGCTGTTTCTATAATTGATTGTATGGCGTCAGTTAATTGATTCGGTTAACACCGTCCGACATACCTATTACGTCAATAGTACCTGGTTTAGAAAGGCGCATTGATTTGAAGCGGATAGAAGGAGGGGTAACAGCACTCTTTGAAACAATCAAAATTACAGAGGCCGAATTCATTTGGTGGTCGGTTGTCACTCCATGAACAAATTCTGTACTTCTTCGTATAGCCTTTGCGACAAAGTGGACCATGCTTCCCAGATTTTCATCTTTCATTTGCGATGGCATGAACTTCATTCCAATCCGAGTATGAGGTGTCGGTTCAGCTTACTCATGATGAGAAAACCTCTGCATAGCTTAGTGAACTGGTATAGTATGCACCTAGAGTGATTGCAGATTGCATTCTGAAGAATTGATACAGAACAGGTATATAGCTACATATTATATTTCAAACGCCTCTGGGTTTACACTTTGTCAAGCAAATTTTGGGCAGAATGAATTGGGGTTGTCCGGGCGGATTTACATAAGTAGTCCCCATTTCAAAAGGTGAGTTTGATTTCGGTTCCACTCTAGTACAAATAAATAACGTATGCAACTGTTTAAATCAACTGAGTAATCCACTTTATTTGACCAATATATGTGATTTGATTTCCAGAGTGTCGCAAAGTATTAATTTTAGGAAATATTTGGACATAACTGCTTGTAACTAAGATTAACAAATAATGAATCTGTTTATTTATACTGATTTAAGCAAGCTTTTCTGTTTTCGATAGCCATTTGTTTAGAAGCATACGGAACCATAACTTTACGATATATCGTTAGGCAGCTCAAATGCAATGCACAGTCCTAGTGCTCAAATGGCGTTTTGTTAATATTTAACATATATTTTTATGTGAATAACATGGGAACTTCCGGTTATAGGACGGCAAGTAATTGCTTTACTACGGGCTCAACTACCGATGTCACTCTGCTAGGAGTTTTACCTTAAAGAACGTCTAGCCAATACAAACTCCGTTGAGAGGAAACGCAAAATAGTACAGGGTAACAGTGGGTCTGCAGGGAGACAATGCATTCTCGTTGTAAAGAAAATCTCCTCAACACAAGGTATTAATCTGAGGACTTTGAAATGATTACGCAAACGAAGTTGTTCGCAATGTTACTCTTTGGCTGCAGGCAAGCCACCTAGGAGAATGCTGGAATATTAGCAGTCGCTCCAGTAGACACGGACCTTGGATACATTGTGAACAGCCCATTGACGCATTTAATAGGGTATGGCATCCAAAGTGCAAATACCCTACGGGATTCGATAAGTGAAGGCTTTGTGTTTTTCCCATAATAAAAATTTGAATTTGAAAATTCATTCAGGTGTTTTTGACCACTCTCCAGATGACGAAATGCAGTGTGGCAAGGTGTTGTTGTTAAAACCTTTTTGTGGTGTTTGAACAAAGACTATATTGCCGATGTGTTTGAAGATGAATGTAGATGAGGTGAATTGTGGGTTTTGGGTATAGAAAAAAATGAGAAAAGGAAGCCAAGTTAATGGGACTTCTTCCACTAAGGTAGATGAACCTTCTCTAGATAATAAGCTAATCGTGCTTCTGTCGGAACAAATGGAGAATTCTATTCTATTTTAGTGAGATGAATAAAATATTCCTTGCGAAACTACTTGAAGCATTCCTAAAGACCAGTAAACAAATGTGAACCAATTTCTACCTGTGGTTTTTAGAATGTACAGCTAGAAAGGCTGTGGGTACCGTTGAACGCAACTCACATCAGGCACACTGGATGGAGTCATTAATGTTTATCGAGGATGGAGAGCGTTGATTATAAGACGGCAGAACTGATAAATACAGAACTATGAGGGTAGACTTCAATGTTGTTATTATAAGTGATGGTGGGGAACGCGTGTTCTAATGATAGCTTTTCTAAATCGTACATGGTATTTACAAACTAGGGAGTGAGTAGAAAGCACTTTCATCCCAGTTGGTTAAGATTACTGTTTTTCAACTGCCGTCAAGACGTCCAGTGCGAAACTTTCGATTTTCTGTTAACGTTTTAGAACGGATACTTCCCAATCCTGTTCGGCTATTCCACGCCCCTTAAATGCCTAAACACCATCTTGTATGGATGTTTATCAAACAATCGGCGTCCTTTTTTGCATGTGTACTCACAAATAAACAGGGTTCCAAGGGAACCGTGTCCCGACCTCTCACCAGCAGTTATGTTATGACGTCAAGGAATGAGTTTTTTGTTACATAGGAAGTACTCAGTATGACCGATTGTGGGTTTGCTCTTCATAACAGAAGGGATTGAAAACAGTTTAAAATACAGTACAATTCAATACAACATCCAACTCATGTGCGCCACCGTGGTTTCTGCTTGTCATGTTGCACCGCTACAGCTCTATTGGGCAAACCCTGCTGCTATTCTAGCAACAAAGGATTGAATCTTTGTTCGTTCAGCAGTTATTGCCACCTGTTGTTTGCTTTTATTTTTACTCTATCGCTATGTTCATTACACAGAAACAAAACATGTAATAGTAACTGCCATTCCGTTGTTCATTCCTACAAAACTAGAACCGCCTAGCGCTAATATCTCGCTGGTTAAATTGATTGGTAACATAATCAGATTGTTTTGTTTACATCCAACACTCATATTGTAATTTTGCATGTGTTATTTCAGACTTCAGATGAACAAGTTGGTGATTTCGAAAATTCCAAAACCAGCAATTATTGTACATGGCAGTGGGCAATGTGAATCTAGTCAAATTGGTGTTTCTGATTTACCGAGTAGACGAACCTCTCACTTTGCACGTTCACTGCGTGACTCTTATCGGAGATTCCATTCAGGCCAACCCATCCCGGATTCAAAATCGAGGGCAGTGGCACAACTTCCCCCTGTCGGAACTGCTTTGCCTATACGAAAACAACCCGTGTTGGAGGCTTATCTGAAGATTGTTTTGTCCGATCACGTGGATTCGGTGGAAACCGTACGATTGTTTCGGGATCGAGCCAACCACAGTGTGGAAACAGGTGTGGAAGATTTTGAACGCCACCTGCGTTCATACGAAATAAACCCGGAGAGGATGAACAGTAGAACAGATGAGCTGATCGAGACTACAGCTTTGATGGTTTGGCTCTTGAAGGGCAAAGCAGTCGACGAACAAACAGTCTATCAGATCTTAAATGCATTCAGTCGTCTCATGGATCTTTGTGGGAAGAACAGATGGAACCAGGCTACTTCGACTATTCTAATCTCACTTTCTGTCCATGCGGTATTATTTGCACTTTGGTAAGATTGCGTTATAGCATAAAATTCACCATACATTGTTTCAATCTCTTTCTAACCTTGCTAGCACTCTCGCATTTTCGGAGCACGTTTCACTGAGTTCAAAAAAAATCGCAGATGATATAAAGGCAGCCGTGCAATAAAATTTAAGAGAAACACAAAACCAGGGTCAATAGTTGGGAAATGAGAAATGGAACTCATGGGTGATCGTAATCGAGCGATGCACAGTGCATTACAGCAAGATGTATGGAAAATAGACATGACCAGGACAAACACCGAACAGTTAGTGAATAATTAGCAATGTCACATGGGAGTTATACTTCTTCTTAATTCGCACTTATTATAGTAAACTGTGACTACTAGAGCGGGATTCGTGATACTGATTTAAACTGACCATCCTATGGAATTTACTTTCACGCAAATTCCTCAGTTCATCCAGTCATCCATTTATTTGGGAAGTATCAGACTGGAGTTTCAATCTTCTCGAGGTCAGTAACAAATTGAAGTCACCAATTAGTCAAATAAGTTTCCCGCCATAGCTAACGTGAAATGAGTAACATTAAATACGATATCTAAAACGACAAAAAAATAATGATTTTTTTCAGCTTGGTCTTCCGAAAACACTTCTAGGTCCCATTTGGAGTAAAAGTCACAGTGCAGTGGCTCCATAAGAGTTGGCAGATGAGGTTCGAAAAGCTCTAGATATATTGCATCCCTTATAAGGTATTTACTATCTTCAGGGAAGTTACTAGATTGGCGAACCAGGTGGGTCTTAATTCATTTTGCAGATCTTCATGCTGCTTCACCCATGTGGACAACCTGGTTGCATCATTTGATGGGCGGTTGGACAGCCCGTTTAGGTGTTTGATCCATCTTTGCGTATTATATTTATTCCCCCTGAATAGAGTGATTCGCGCTGTCGCGCAATAGCAACTCCAATGTCTGCATCCTCCCTGCTGCGACGCCGATTAAACGAAGTAGCATAACATAAGTCGCCTATCCTAGTGGAAACATCTGTGGTCTAAAACTTAAATCTCGAGGCCTTCCAAGAATGAACAGCAATTCCTCATGGGGTTTACCCCGTTTGTTGTTTATTATGCAATATTCACCAGGGCCTCATTTCCTACTGTTAAAATCACTGGGCGTTTTTTATTATACCAGTGTGCGATGAACAGCAGACGGGGAAAGCCCCACAGTCACGAATACCTGCTGTTCAGTAATGGTAACCGGCAACCTGATCCCCGAGACTTGGAGTAGCGAACCACATAAGGCCCCGATAGGTCAGGCGTGGTATCGAACTGGGCGAAAGCAAAGCGGTCTACCACCAAAGATGGATTGTCTCCAGAAATGCATTCTGAAACTAATTGTGACGTGCATGGTGCTAATGTGGACGGCAAAGAAATTGTGTACAACAAAGTTTTATTGGCGATAGTTAGCTTGGAATTCTGAACTAAAGGGTCCATGACATGTCAGTGGTACTGGCTGAGATGACTGGGGAGTGGTGTATCAGTCGGAAGCAGTCAAAACAGCTTAGATTTTTGAAGTCGGTTGTAACTTTTAATCAGATAAATTATGGCTACATCACACAATCAGGCAAAACATCCTCTTCCCCCGCTGCAATTTGACAATTCTAAAAGACTTTAGGTGGTACTAATTTTGGACACTACTTTTCGTACTATGATAAATCAGTCAAACAAATCCTTCTACTGGGTTAAACAAGGGATTCCAAGCGATTGATCCATTCATATGTAGAAATAGCGGTTAAGACTAAGGTGACCAATGCGCTAAACAACACAATAGAAACAGTAACAAAATTTGGTGAGAAACTAACCAAGTAGACAGATAGAAAGGATGTGCTGATGTTTAGTGTAAGGTCACCTCCACCAGTACTCCGGTCAGGTGGCACGTAGCAAGTGCCCACCATCATCTAGCATCTGTGAACGCTCAACGAGCCGTGAGATTTGTACCATATCTTATACCTGAACGGAAATTCCAACCGTGGTTGTTTATGGTGATGCGTGTGGACAATATTGCTGAAGTACACCACAGATTCGAACATGTTCTTGGGAAAATAAACACTGCTACCAGTCATACTTCCAGGTATTAAGCGGTTGTTTCCATAGAGATTTTGTTTATCACCACTGGATTTATCTTTTCAGAATTAAGCCGTATGTGGCTGATAATTTGGCGTACAATGTTTCAATAAAGAAGTGTACTTTATTTCAGAAAATGATGAACAAAGTTTACATTTTTCTTTTTTTGGCGCAATCGTCTAGTCTTGTCTCATCAGGCGAACAATTTCAAACTTTCTTACGCAATCTAATCATCTATTTGGATCCGACTAAGCTTGTTCCTTCTAATACGTGGACCGACAAAATCAATTCATCCACTGCTCCACTCGAATGGATTCATGTACCAGTTTTGCAAATTTTNGCAAATTTTGGAGCGTATGGCACGGTCGAATGATTACGCAACCCATAATTCTGTGCTGATCGCTTTCACACAGTATGGTGAATTGCATAAATGTGAACGATTTGCAAGTTTGGTCCCCATCATGCCTTACCTGACCAACCTCGAGCATCGTACATTGTTTCTGCACCTGATAAACTCCTTACTGTTGAGATCTGGTGAGGATCGGGAAAATCCCAGTAAGCGAACACATGTTGAATGATTTTAACTTGTTTCCTCTTCATACTTTAATATTTTTTTTGATAATAAATGTCAAATCTTCCAAACAATTCATCCCAAGTGAGAAGCAATAAAAAAATGCACTTAGGGGCAACCACTGAACTGGCGTGAATAATCAGTTACCCGCATACAGGAGTTGTATACCAGTCGACAATTCGCATTTGTTGGAGATTCATCGAAAAATAAGGATAGGGTACGCTGACCAAAAACCGTCCTTCGTTGTACTCGTCTGTAAATGTATGCTTTTTTATTAAAACCCTTAATGTGCACAAACCTGATCGAGTTATTATCATGCCTAATCAACGAGGACAAAAATCGGTGATTTATATATGAATGTTCGCCCAAACTCAGTTTCGCCTTGTACTGATTTTTCTCATTTTTACAGGTGTGACGAATCTCCTATTGAATGCTCAAATTCGATGGGAACTGAATATACTTGGGTTCAGTAATCACTTGTCCAAATGGCTCAAGGAAAGCACCCAAACGCAGCTCTTATGCGCAATCCATAAATACGACAGACAGGTTAGTGTATTGATTTAATAAACGAGAGCATAAAATAATTTTAGTGAATGAATTTGGAGCATTTTTCTATTCATAGAAGTAGTAGTATGGTTATACTTGCAAAAATGCAAAGCCCAATCGAGGAGAATTATTCACTTAAAGAGAAACATCGGACAGGGTGAAATTATACAGATCGGAAGGTCTAATTTCAACGATCGGTTAAAAATTTTGTGATCGGCGATTTTCAGACTAACAATCTGTTTGTCTCTCCTGCATATGTAACAGTAAATCCTTTATTCCACTAGTGAATTACGGATGAATCCAATAACCACAACTTGATGCATGCAGACTCCTCCCATATGTGTTTAGTAGTAGTATTAGTATTATTATCAGCAGTAACTGTATCATTATTGGTAGTAGTAGTAGTATTTGTGAAAAATCGTCTTGGAGTTCTATACTCAGTTTAAAGCTCTCGGTTCACACGAATCTGTATCTTATTTTCACAAACAAGAGCAACAGCTTTCTGCGTTTCATATAACCGCCATTCACAGCAGTATTGAAATTTCAAAGCGAATCACTTTGACATGTTACCGTTTGTGTATTGC